AACCCGATATATCGAAATCTGTTTCATTTCGTGGTTGTACATTTTCTATCGGTTGTGAAACGAGAATGCTGCGGTTTGGAAATGTTCGTGTAACTCATCGGAAATCACGGAGGAATACGTCATGCTAATCGTAAGTCTTGACACTCAGCAAGACAGATGTCAACTCTGGTATAATGTTACTTAGACTTGTCATTGCAACATCAGTTAAAGCACTTGAGTATATTGTGGCATTCTCAACCTTAATCAAGATAATTTAATCAGAAAGTCAGCTCTGTAAATTGTCCTCAATGAATATAATCAAATTTGTGGACTAACCTGTTGACAATTTAATTTTGCAAGTGCTGCCTTCTCAAGATTCTTACATTCTATAGGAATCCACAGTTCATCAAGATCACTTCCATGATTGCATTTGCTCTTGTAAGAAAAAATGGAGTTAGAAACAATTGATGTATTGTACATAATGTACAAATAAGTCTACTCTAACCCCATGCATGCATATTGGCATTGTGACAAGCCATGCATCCAAAAAGGCATTCAGAGGATCAGCAAAAAGTTGATTCCTCCTAACATGGGCAACTGTTGCCACACATCCAAAAAGGCATTCAGAGGATCAGCAAAAAGTTGATTCCTCTTAGTATGGCCAACAGTTCACTTTGCTGACTCTCACAAAGGTATAAATAGAACTCACTGACTCAATAATATACTTGCCAGCTTGTTTGCTAGAAGTTTTGCAGCTCCCTGCTTCTTCATGTCATCTTCACAATCATTAATAAGCAAGCATAGACTTTTTGTGAGAGTGTCATTTGCCTTTTGATAGCATAGGTTTTTTGGATTGTCTCTGTGTTGATGTATCCATGTTTCATGAAACCCGTAGACACTCCAATTACTGACATCATTGTCATTGAAATATCTATGCCATCCACGCTTCGTCATCTTGAAAGTGCTATGGTTTCTTTACTGCACGAAATTTCAAATTGTAGAACTAAATAACGCGAAATAGAAGGGTAACAAGTCAAGTGAATTAGTCCTGTCACAAAAAAATTTTCGCAGCCCAAATAAAGATCAAAGATATCTTGTAGTTCCGTGATTTACGCGTGATCTGCGATCTTTTTTCCTTTTGATGTTCATTATTACAAGTAGCACAAAATCCATAGTAATAGTTTATAAGTTTATTTTATTAATATATAATTATTATTATAGCTAATTATTATTTCTTTTTATTTATTATTATGCTTTAAATTAAAAGTGGGAAAACTAAACAATATTTGTTGAAAAATTAAACACCTGGGAGAGCAGCAGTGCACTAGCCGTTTTGGGATTTAGTTCGTTTCCTACTTTAAACTAAATATCGTACAATTAGTGACCTTTTAAACAGGGTTTAATACTCACGGTCGGTATACTCTCGATCTTGTATACACCTTTCCTAGGTTATTGTTTAATCTCGAGATTCTCAGCGATTCCTTTGATGGGATCAATTTCAAAGTCTATCGGAACGGGGAATTATACTCTTTATAGGTGTTAACAATTAATTAAACAATAATCCTTGAATGCAAAAGTATTAATTGGCAAGAATAATTCTATTTACCGTCGGTGGGAAAAGCGATTTACACTTCACCAACAATACTAAGTATCTTTTAATCGAAATAATAAAATTTATGTTTAATTGGATATTTATTAGAATATAAGGAACTATCTAATATTAATAGCAACGTCTTGCTAAATGATCCAAACTGAAGACTGTTCTGAAGATAATCTTTAACTATTAGCTACTTGAGGAGGAGTTAGTAGTGTATTAGGATGAAAAAAGATTTAATTTCTTTGATAATTTCAGAAACACTTGCTTTTCGAGCTTTCAACAAACTAAATTCAGTATAAGCACCATTAGCAACCATTTGAGCTTTAAATTTCCAGGATTAACTGCTTCAAAAAGAAAATTTTGCAAACCATTTAATTTTTTAAAGAAAATCCCCAACACAGAGTTAAAATCTAAGAGCTTTGTTTAATCCAGCTGTACTTGATTTTCCACAATCTCAACAATCTGATCCACGCAATCTACTGTTGTTTTGCGCTATAGTTTCTTAATCAATTCAAAATAAAAACTACCATCACACTTAAATTTAGTATGTCCAGGTACCATAAAATTTAATTCGATAATTTCCTAATAATAACCGCAAACAGATAAAATCAAATGGTAACATTATTTTTATTCTGTCCTCCCGCATTATCATAACTAATCTTTAAATGCTCCTCACCTTTATTCAATTTCTTAATTCCATCGAATACCATGCTCAGTGTACCATTATAATTAGGACCTTTCCCTATAATTTCGTCTTTATCAAGAACGTAATTAATTTGAATACCGAATAAATGCACATTACGCGGCCTAAGATAATACTTCCTTGCTGATCGGAATGGGGCACGTGAACATTTGGTGCCCAATCGTAACTGTTAATAAGCAGTAGCGTCAACACTACAATAATTAGCTTTACCTCCTGTTACAGCGTAATTATCATCTACCAATTTCCTCTGTTGTTCTGTTAATTTTGTCATAGTTTCTCTCTAATTTAGCCTAACTAAATGTTCTTTGTATTTTTTAAGTAAATCTTTCGCTTCTTCCTTACGAAAATGTTGGCACGTGACATATAAATTCGTTCTTGGACTCATAATTTGAATATAAGGCGTTAATTGGTGCCACAACTTGCGGGACGCATCACAATTTTAACGTGCTATCTTTTCGAGACCTGCAATAAAGTCACGATAGACCGATTTATAACTCGTTTCAGCTGGCGTAAGCGATTGGGTAATGCGATTGACGTTACTACTAGGACTTGGTAATCCATATAGTTTTCAAGAAAATTCTTCACGACAGTAGCAACGGTTATATCAATGGTTGTTTTGGTTTCTCATCGTGGCACTCTTTTTATTCGAACGCAGTATTATTATTATACCATTCGTTTCCGCGTGTTTTCGAAGTGATTCCTAACATATTGAGATACGTTTTCTGACAAAGAGACGTATTACGATCTCAATAATAAAAAGTTCTCTCATTAGTACGCGTTTTCTTTTTAAGACATCAGCTGGCAGTTATTTCTCTACCGTTTATTGCTTTCAGCTGGGCTATTAAAAATATATCTTGTTTGGATCGAGAGAGTTTAAAACGCTTCACGTAATTCAGCAAACTTTTCTCTTGGAATCATTTTCGAGCAACCGCAATTGCAACCTATTCCAAAAATATTGTGGAAAAAATTAAGATTGGGACTACGAAAGTTGGTGCGGGAAGTCGATGATAAATAATTCGAAATTTTCGATAACCTGGGGGGAGTGTTGAAAGCACATGCATTCCTTCGCAACGAGAGATATAAAAGATGAAGTTTACGCAGAGTTCATATTTAGTCGAACCATTATATTATAATTTTTCATAACCATTATAATTATAATTTATCATATACGGGTATTCCTAAATATAATTTTGTCATTTTTTAGTCTTTTTTCTTATTTCACAGAGTTTTCTGCTTAATATTTAATAATAATAAAAGCGAGAAATCGAGTAATCTATGGCGTACCAACAAGTTTAACGTGTCCGGTAAAAAGTTGATCTATTAACACAACAATAAATACTATCTAGGAGCAATTGGTAAAATCGGCATGTCTACTATAAACGCGAGGTCGTTCCATAATCAAGCTATCAAATGAACTTTACAGCGATGCAATATTGGAAAGCATTTAAATAACATTCAGGAAATGTAGCAAGATGACGTTAATCAAGCAAATTAAATCGCGCTAACTTATTGTCAACGTTTCAGCGCAAGACCTTGAGACATCAAGATTCATGTAAACGAGCCCAATTAACATCTACACTAGAATTTAAAGTAATAAACAAAATCTTATGTTCCGGATGTTATGGAGCTACAAATGATTCATTAACTGTAATAAGATAAAGTTTTGCGTTCCTTTATTAGTTGCACCTACGATTGAACGCTAAAGGTGCTTGTAATAAGATGGTATTGTCTCCGTATCTTGATTTATCCAAAAAACGTTCGATCGTTCTCTGCTTCGATCCAGAGGCATTGTATCTGCGAAATCATCCAGGTTGTCAATATCACTGACTATCGCTTTAGGCGTTGTCAGTTTTCTTCTCTTTGCGAGTGGATATTCATCTTGTTCGGTTAGGTTTAACTGACTCCCTAGACTTGCGTTCCCCTTGTAGTTCTTTGCACATACATAGTCTTGTAACATTTAAAGCGCTACGTTGCAGGCTGGTTTATACTAGCATATTTTCTGTCGCGCTCCCGTTAACATTGTTGTTGGACCAATGGTTTGCCAAGAACGGATTACTTCCCGGTTTGGGGATAATTTTTAACCCAAAGCTGATCTTTTCTTTGCATAGTTGAATTCAAGAGACATGCAATCAACAACATTGGGCCTAGTGCGTGTAAGAAGGCCACTCTCACGATACTTCTTACGCAGCTATGCGGGATTGGCATATAATGCCAAACCGTCTGGGCCAGAGTCTGATCTGGATAAAGGAAAGACAGCTTCAAAGAACGATGGGTCTAGTACTATATCTTCTTTATCTCCTGGTGAGTTTACTAACCGAGAACTAGAATATCCGACTCTTCATCTTATGCTCCATTGACTCAGCAGCATTGATTTTCTACATGTTTTAAGGAATAAATACAGCAGCAGACTGGATACAGCACCCGATACCTGATCCTACTTTTGAAGTCATATCAGCCGGTACTCCGGGTGCTTTGCTTTACGTGAAGATTCCTCCTAGGTCGGAAATATATGCAACTCCAGCGACGGTTATTGCTGTATCGGGCAAAGTGTGAATTGATTAATTATCCGATTTTTGTTTGATAATTCGTTGTTATCACAATGATCTTGGTTCTATGATATTGATTAAATAAACGGATCGATCATCTAACCTCGTAATTTCATCAATTGTCTACGTTCCTAAAGGTCCGTGCTGAGCGTTCGACAGATGGAAATATTGTCATGGCCATAGGAAGAAAACTTGCTGGCGGTCTATTGGTCTATCATAAGGTAAACTTTACATTTATCAAGCATTGTTTGGACTCAACATCTGACTATATCTATATTCATACAGCTGATTACAGACGCTTATTCGGGTGATGCATTACTTGCACCATCCCCATTGTCAGATGTTGCAGCAATCCAGATGGATGGACGTTCAGATTACTATGTACGCAAGGGAGCTTTTCTCGCGAAAGGGCCGCGTGTATCTTTGAAGGTCGAAAGGATAAGAGGAATGGTAAGTAAATCAAGTCTCTAAAGGAATTATTATAGGCGTCAAAAAAATTTACTATTCACGGCATAAATTATTTTAATATGTACTCGGCATTGTATAAATATCATAGGGAGCGCTAAATAAATTCGCCCATCGCATCTCTGGGCGAGGTACTCTAGTAATTTCTGGCCACGGCTCGATCCATCGTCTGGTATTAAATGCTGGTGATGAGTATCTGGTGAACCCGAGGTACAAAGTTACGCACATATATAGTTGCGCTATTGATTTATAATCTAATTGACTTTACTTTGCACCATGATTCATATTTAGACATCTTGTTGCATGGGACGCCTTTACTTATCCGATAATATCATCTCCATTGGTTGGTCGCTCAGGCCATACAAGGCTAAAAATTATATCAAATAAAATGGCAAACTTGGTACCCCAAAGAGCATCGACGTTTATTGAGAACGTGAAGATGAGCCCATCCGTGAAGTCAACGTTGGATAGAATTCGAAGGATGACAGTCAGGACAAGAAAGTGGGCATTGGGTGGGCCAGTATGTTTACAAGGAGAAGTGTAATATGTGTATTGGATTTGTCACTGATTACCGTCACTAAGATCCCATTTCATTGTTTATCAGGAATATTTGAAATTAAGCGGTCCTGGAGACTTTTATCTA